GTGAGGTCATTACACTGGGCTACCAGCTCACACAGGGCTGCTTGCTTTTCCCCTGTGTGCAAGCTATGGTGGCAGGTGCCATAATCGGTGGTTTGTGGAACTCTGTTCTGCCCAGGGACCTTCAGCCCTGTGTCTTCACATCACCAGATGCCCAGCAGACATTCCCCAGCATCTGCTCACGTTGCAGCAGCCACACAGGGCGGCTGACCCCGCAGTGCAGCAGGGCCCGCAGTGGTCTAGTCCTCAGGGATTGCCATCCCTAATGGATGTGGAGTGTCTCACAACAAGGAAGCACCCCTGAGGACAAAGGAAACCAGAGGGTGAGCTTTTCCGTGTCATAGAGTGCCCCACTATGGGCGGAGAGTGACCGTGCTTCTTTCAGCAGAGATGTGGGCACTGTGCTGGGCTCTGTGGGGGAAGACTGTGGTTCCACCCCAGTGGCCAGGCAGCCCCAGTACTCATGAAGAGACATGGAGAGGGGGATTTATTCTCTCGCTGACTGCTGCAGACCCAGCTAGGGCTGCTCCCACGGGAGCTCAGCACAGGTATTGCCTGTGGATAGCCATTCTAGGGCATTTAACGGTGACTGCATCCCCATGGGAAGTGTGCTCTCTGGGCCCAGGCTTGCACAAGGGGTAGAACCCCTCCCCCTCTCCACATGGAACAGCAGTGTTCCTGCAGATGGACAGTGGTGTCTATCTGATCTGAATATCCTGAGCACCTGGACGGGGGCATGATAGGGAGGCAGATCACATTCCTGCTGGCCTGGTAGTGGAGCTGGGGCAGCTCTCTTCCTTCCCCTGAATGGAGACCTTGTTGCATTTCACTGGTAGCTCCCCCTGCCACCCCCATTTGGGCTGAGGCTTGTGCCCACCATTGGGATATTGCATATACCCATCTGCTTCTGCCACAGTCAGTTCTTACCCATGGGCACTACCTACTGGCCTACACAATGAACTGCACAACCCAATGAAAAAGATACTGACAAAAGTACACAGCACTGGAGAATGACATAAGCTTCCTGAGACCTCCACCATTCTGATCCTGCAGGAGACAGTGAGCCTGTTCACACTTCTAGCACATTGCTACTACAACCAGCATCTGAGAAAGCCACTACACAAAGGCTATCTATAACCAAGGATATCATACAGAGTCTTTGCCACTGAAAGCACACAGAATGGAAGCCAGGCAATCATACACAACATACATCATAGTCACATTCTTAAGGGGGAAAGAACCCATCCAATTGAAAATAAATTCTAAAATAAGAAGAGACAGTCTAGCCAGATGAGAAGAAACCAGAGAAATAATTTTGATAATATGTAAAGACATAGTTTTACAACACCCCCAAAGGATCATACTAACTCTCCAGCAATGTACACAAATGAAAATGAAATATTTGAAATATCAGATAAAGAATTCAACATACTGATTATAAAGAAG